TGGGAGTGTTAGGTTTAAACTCGAGAGTTGTGTGTGTCTAATTAAGTAAGAAATCTGTAATCTGAAACAGGTGTTTTCCTAAAGGACTTGACATGCTTCGTGGTCCTACTTCGTCCTTTCCTCCTCCTAGTCCTAAACTTTCCACAGGTCTTCCCTAAATATTTGTGCTTCCTTGTCAGTTCTTGTCTGTTTTGAGTGTTTGTATTTGGAAGAAGGACACAAGCCCCCAACAGCAAGGAAAGAAAAGTGTCACCCGCAGTATGAAGGTGAGAGAAGGTCTACCTCAAGGAGCTGTAAATTAATTCTGAAGAATGACAGCAGCAAATAGTTGGTTGTTTCTTTCTGGCTGGTATTTAGGAGGGAAAGCGTCACGATCTCATTCAGTGTTATAGCACAAAAAGTTTATAGATTAAACTGTGTTTTCTTTTCATTTCCATTTGTCCTAAAATGGTGCCCTTTTTTTTCTACTGGGAGCTGAGTAGGAAAAAAGAGAAAAACAAACCACAAGCACGGGTGGAGGTCATGGCTGATGAGAGAGGCCAGCAAGGAACATCTTGCGTAACAGAAGCAGCTAACTCATCCTCCAAGGCCAGAAACAGAATGTTCGAATCCACACAATTCAGGACCCAAGTTATTTTACAAAAACGCTTTAACATCTTGAGCAATCACTGAGAAACCTGGAAAGTCACTCTCCCCCAAGTTGGCTCATCCAACTCTGATCCCCCCAAAACACCTTCATAAGTGCCAAAAGGTGATTTTCACAAAAAAGGAAAAGATAACCAACAGGGTTTACGTGTTCAGCCAACAGGCAAACCCAAATCACTGAAGGCTCTGCAGGGCCTCACTTAACTTCCTGCCACCCCCCACCACAGGCACCCATTCTCAAAAGCCTCCCCGGCTACTTTCACTCTAAGTAAAATTTCTGCCATGCCCATCGAGATTCTATGATGATCACATTCCCAAATCTAGCTACTCAGGAGAGCTGAATTGCAGATTCCCTGAGAATCTTCCAGCTGCTTCTAGAACTCCAGGGTCAGGAACAGCCTTCCTCTTCAAACCCCACTCAGGATTCAACCCTTTGGGGAATCTCTTCAGACAAACTACTGCTGGCTCCCATATAATCATCACGCCAGCTTCTTCACGGATACTACAGGCATCTTGTAAATTTGTGGTCAAGGCGTTCACATCCATCATTCCATCTCCCATGTTATACTGAAGAGGCCTCGAGGGAGCGGTCCATCAGCTCCTATGATTACCCCGAGTTTCCGCAGACAACACACTGCGTCTCCACCGAGCGGGGAGAGTGGGTAGTTAAAAGCACTGCTGCTTGAGAGTGCCCTCTGCTGAGCCTCCTGACACATGCTCACTGCTTTTCTAAATTCGGTCCTCACCACACCAGGGATATGTTTTGCTGAAAGGCATGTCTTCTAGCCTGTGCACCTTGTCTCTGCTCAAAGACGGCGTGTCCTTGCGGCAGGCTGCTCTCTGGTCATCAAAGGAGGGACAGTGCTGTGGTGAAGAAGGAGGTTTCTCTGCTCAGCAGCCTCCAATCGAAGGGTGCCAAGGCAGGCTGGGGGCTGACAGGGCTCTTCCAGAGAGACCCCGTTAAGGGAATCAGGTCGATTTCCCTCTTGTTTTAATATTTTGTTAAAATTTCACTATAGAAATGTTTAATTTAATTCAGCAGCTAATACCTTTTGGTGGGCGATCTATTATTCCTGATTCAGTTCATGGTATGGACTTAATTTCTCAAACTTTCAGTGAATGTGTTCATTGCACTTGATGTTACTGGATCATAGTTCTCGGATTTGGGACTTCAAGAAGCAATACGACATTTTATAATAAGAGGGTCTGACATGGGGGTGCCAGTTTTTTGTCTTTTTAAATAAACTTTAAATTTTGGAATAATTTTTCATTTCTTTTTCTTTCATGTCAGCCTGCACAAGAGAAAATGTCATCAATATGTATGACTGAAACATTATGCTGTACATCAGAAAGTGACACATTGTAAGTGACTATACTTCAATTCAAAAAGAGAGAGAGAGAAAATGTCATCACAAACTCATAAACGGGAAGTAAGATATCACCCAAAAGGAACGCAGTGATCATCCCTTCCCTACCTTCAGGGAGCTACCGCTAACTCTAGGAGAGGGAACACTACTAAAACAGGCAGCTAAGAGAAGCAAATGCAAATGGGAAGTACAATTAGAACCGGTAGAAACAGAGAAGAAAGATTAATTCTGATGAGGAAGAATCCAGAGGAATAGGGGAGTCATTCATGGAAGGAGGCAGCCCCCTAGCGGGTCCTTAAAAGACTGAAATGTTGGGGTAAAGCTAGGCTGGGTAAGGCAAAAAGGTATATAAGAAGGAAGAAACAAATTTTTAGGTTGTAATAAAAGATGATAAGCAATTAAAGCACGATGTTGTTACTTGTGTTAATACTCCATCATGAATGGTCTCCTTGCGGCTATCAAGAAGTTAAATGATTGTCCTTCAACATCCAGGCAGTCAACCAACCCCAATCTGTTTCCTCATTATAGCAGAAGTTCAGAGGGGAAGTGAGAACGTGACTTGGCACTTACAGGCAAGAAAATCCGGATCCCTGAACCATGAAAGCACTGGGTCCCACAGTAAGTCACACAAGGAATAGAGGGGCTCACAATTTACCGGGCAATGTTACCCAGGCAATCTCATCTCTAATGGTATTAACGTGTCAATGAACTGAAACACTGTCAAATGTATAGAAAGGGAACTTTGTTCCAGGAGTGGGAGCACGAAGGAGTGGACAGGTGCGGGCTTGGGTTCAGATGGGCCCACCGGCCCTGAATGGGCTGTGTGAGCTCCGTAAGTCACCACCTCTCTGGCCTGTTTCCTCATCTGTAAAATGGGGGGCTAATAATTCCCACTTTTCAAGGTTGCTGTGACGTTCAGAGGCAATGTAGAGAAAGCAAGTGAAGCTTCTCATAAAACTAGGAGCTGATACGATTGCATGGCAAATTTCCTTTGGGTTTCATCCTATGTCATCACACATTTCATTTGAGAAGAGTCTATTGATGGAGAACTCTGAAGAAGATTCGCTAAGAGTGCTGAAGATATGCAAGAAGTTTTTTAGCATGTAATGATCTATGTTCATTTATTTTGGACTTATTTTTAGTTGTGCTAAAAAGCATTATTTCATATTTGGTAACATAAAAGAATGTTTAATGACTGGTTTATTGTCTTTATTACATCTCCCCTCCAGTTTGTCTACTTAAGAGCTCCAGGAATGTAGTCTCTCAGACATGAATGGTTTCTGTTTGCAATTATAATAGGGTGGGGGTGGGGCAGATGGGGAAATTTGTTGGGAATTTATGTGGACTGCTTTCAAAGAATATTTCCATTAAACTGCTGCTTTCTCCTCACGTGACCTACGCTTGTTGACAAAAACCAGGGTTTTATTCCTTGCTGTGGGTGGGGACTGTCCTGGGGACTGGAGGATGTTCTGCAGCATTTCTGGCTTCTACCCACTAGATGGCAGTAGCACCCTCCAGTTGGAATAATCTGCAAGGTCACCCCAGTTGAGAACCGCTGACACAGACATCCTAAAAGCTAGACTTTTAGACTAAAAATGGTTCTAATTTCAAAACGACAGCGCTAACTTTGGAGTTGCAGGATATATATATTGGTCATTCATTCATAACTAGAGATCAAGCTTGGCTTTGAAGACCTTCCCCAATAATGGCCCGACCTACAGCTCTGAGACCCAGCCCACCCTACACATCCACCTTTTAAGTCTGACTAAACTACTTAGTTTCTAATAAATCTCCGCACTATGCCCTCTGTCTTGTCCTCCATTGTCCAGAGAGTCATATCTAACTTACTCCTTAAGATTTTACATTTACGGCCAATTTTTCCCTGAGACCTTCCCAGACCTTTCTGTTAGAAGTGCTGGCTTCTCCCTCAAATTGTGAAATTTCATCAAATGGATCTCTCTTGTTCCTCCTTCATCATTTGCTAGCTTTCCTGCGAAACAGACGTCCTCCACCTCCAACTTCTAAACTCATGGGCGCATGAGCGGGCACGCACACAATTTTAATCTCTTTTCAGAGAAAGAAAAGATTGAAGAAGTTATGCTTTTTAATTTGAAGCACTCTTAAATTTCGTGGGCACCTCCAATGGTGCACAAATATTTCTGAGAGGAAGCTGTCCCCAGGTCATCCCCTTGTTCCATGGTGGGGTTTTCCCCAGGAAATTATTAGATTCCTAGAAGTAGGGTAACTGGGTGAGAGAATAACTTTTCCCGTGGAATTCTATGGGGTTCTTATTGCTATTTTGAATGGGATCTTCTCCCATTATATCTGATTACTGCTTTTGTGCAGGAAAGTGGGTGATTTTTGCATCATTATTTTCTACCCAGCCATTTACTAAGAGGTTTCAGTTGATATTCTTAGCATGGTGGTGCCAAGGGGTGTCCTGGGAGTGAGGGTGGCTTTAGCTTCTTTCCTATTATCTGTTAGCCTCACCCCCAAATCACGCCAAATAAACATATACACTAAAATCCACGTGCTGCTCTGTGACCACAACTTCAGGACATGTCCTGTGCCCTCCATCCTCCTCCAATCACATAACTGCAGAAAGCTGGACGCAGCCGGGGGTGGGGGGTGAGTCTTTTATTAGCATATTACCTACAAATAAGTAATTCGTCCTCCTCCTTTCCAATAGCTATCACTCTTACTAACAGCTTCAAAGCTTCCACAACCATATGAAATCACAATGCTGCTGATATACATTCTCACATTCTTGTCTTTCTTCTCATAACAGGAACATGTCTAATATCTCCATATTAAATATGACATAGGATGTTCCTTGAACAAGAGGGTCTTTATAAGGTTCAGAAAATATCCTTTGTTTCCAGTTTTCCTAGACTATTATTTTCCCTTCCGAAATGGATTTTGAATTTAACCAAGCTTTTTTCCCCACTCCCCCAGCTTTGATTCAACAATGGTATAGTTTGGGTTTGAAAGTGCACAGCAAGTTAGAAAAAACAGGCCATGTGGGAGACAGGAGGCTTAAATCCAGTTGTAAGTTTTAGGTGTGAATCACCAGAACCCTTCCCCTTCCTCTCGGGATATTGTTCAGGCATATTGCATGCAAACGCTGCTGGCTGCCAACCAATAAACATGAGTGTGGCTTTTCTGATGGGCACACCCTTGGAAACAGAGCTGGTTTGTTCTCCTGAACAAAATCAAAGAACCTGCTGAGGCTTGCAGTGAAAAACTTTATACAACATTTCAAAGCCCAACTAAGGACAAAATCGACAAGCCCATCCGAAAATGCCCCTGCGAAGCAGGCATGGTAGTTTATTCCTAAGAGTTGTTCGATTTCAGCAGGAGCGACCGGCCATGTTGGTTTCCCCAGGATTGAGGGCTTCCTAGGAACACGGGACTTTCAGTGCCCAAACCTGGAAAGTCCCGAGGCTCTAATTTAAAGGATGATTTTAAAAGGAACAAAATACATCTATTCTCAGGGTAGGTGAAGGGTTCATTGGAAGTGTGTGAACTTTAAGTCCTTCTTTTTTGGGCGAAACTAAATTTTGGCAGGGTATGGATAAAAAAAGGCAGAGTGTTGTGCATTTTTCAGATGGTTCTTTGTTTCTGACCATTTAGAGCTGCAGTAAACCGAGGTATCAGGCTCAACCAGAAATCCTTCCACCCTTGACCACTCGGGACTTTCCAAACAATGCTCCCCAGAGTCCAAACTTCAGGCAGGAAATACCAAGTACATTTTCCCCTTTGTCCTGGGACCACCAGGTGTGCCTCCTTTGCCAGGGCATTCCTTCTTCCTCAACATTCAGGTAAGTTTTTAACAGAAAATACACGGCTATGCAAACTGAAGATTTAAGTTTTAAAAAAGGGTCAGCCATTTACTCAGTAAAATCAGGTTCTTGTGCTTAACTCATAAAACAGTATTTCTGGTTTGGAGGGTCATCAGATGATTACTTCTCAAATTGTAACGTTCATAGCAACCACTTGAGGATGTGGTTGAAATGTGGGTCCTGATTCCTAGACAGAAGTGGAGGTTGAGATTCCAGGTGATACCACTGCTGGTTCAGAGATCACATTTGAGGTAAGAAGAATTTTGTACAGTAATATTCTCTATATTTCTTTGATCACATAATGTGAGCATGGACTAAAATGTGAGCATGGACTAAAAAAAGTACATTTATTTATCTTTTGTATTCATGTGTTAGGACAGCATAATTTCATTTTATTAAAAAAATAAATGCGAGCTCTAGTATTTTATTCCAGCACAGCACTGAGTAATCTCACACACAGTCTATTTTGAGGACCACTGATGCTGATCACACACCCATCATGTTAACATTCAGTACATGCTTGTATTTCTCCAGGCATAAGAAAATCACTTTGATCCAGGGGGCCTATTCCATCTTTGCATAATGAATTGCTACAAAGTTCTTCCTTCTATTGGTTTGCATCTACGCTTTGTATCCAAAGGTTTACCTTTGGAGGTAGTGAAAAACAAGCCTAATCCCTCTTAACACTATTTCAACTCCTATCATTGAAAAGGGCCCGATTTCCTTAATATGTAAAGAGCATTTATAAAACAATAAGAATTATGTCACCAACACAGGAGAACAAAATAGGCCAAGGAGAGAAATAGGTATGACAGATCTTTGAAAAATGAAAAGATAATCAATCTTGCTCAGGTAAGAGAAATGCAAATTAAAACTATGATGAGGCATTATTTTTCATTTGTCAAGATGGTAAAGATAAAGAAAAGATGGGTTAATATATTGTGTTGGTGATGCTGAGGATAAACAGGTGCCCTGACACATTGCTGTGGCAATGTCCATTGGTATAATTTCATGGCAGCTGCTTAATGAAGCTGCTAAAGATTAGTTTTTTTTTTAAACGTTGGGAAAATGCTGACAGTATAATGTTTTCTAAAAGAGACAAAATACACAGAGCATGAAAAGCACTGGAAGAAACTGCATTAAAATAATAGCAAAACCTATTTCTGGATGGTACAGTAATAAAACAGGTGATTCTAACTCTGTTCTTTATGTTAATTAGCATTTTCAAAATTGAAAACAAGCCTGTAGGAAATGCTCCAGGGAGGAGGTGATGCGAGCCTAGAAGTGTGGACCTGGTTTTGAACTGCAGACTTTTAAAGCTCACAGTAAGAGATAGTTGAGTCCTTGGCCTACCTACACTCCTGGGGAAACTGACACAGGCCATTCTTGTCATTGACAGTAGTGACGTTCTATAACATTGCCATGATCACTGAATGAGCCAACACCCAATCATCGCTCCTGGGGACATACAGGGTTAGGGGCCTGCCACCCTCTGGTTACAATCAAGAAAGAATCAATAACAGAACTCTGTTCTATGTTTGCTGCTGTTTAAAGACACCTTATTTACTATCTATTTTGTTGATTCATTAGCACTGAGCTCACGGACAGCAGCACAAGTCAGGCCTGGAGGAAGCTTCTCCAACACGCGCACTGTCTCCATGTTGTCTCCCTAAGGCACCTCTCAGCCTTCTTACACTTAGGGACACGAGACAGCACTTCAGCACGATGCCTGGGGGCTGTTTTAAACAGTAGATCACCAACAAAAAAGCACACAAATGTGGCACTAAATAGACCTCAAGAAGTACACTTGTTTACAGTATGAGAGCTGACACAAGAAGACAGTGTTGTTTTATTCACCATCAGGGGAGCGTGTGCAAGCTGGGGTGCTCTGCGCATGCCCACGAATGCGGGCGTAAGCGCCACAGGGATTCATCTGGGGGTGACAAATAAATTCAGCGTGTAGGCGACTTTACAAATGATGAGGACTGGCTGCGATTCCAACTACAATTTTAAGCAAAAGTCTTATTCAAAAGTAAAGAGCCAAATACCAATCTTCTACAGATGAACCCCTTCTCAGAGTAGTTTCAAGTTGAGTAACTTACAATTTATAAATTTGAATTTATAAAGGAAATTAAATTTTCTTTCCACAATGGAAAGGAAAGCAATGTGTTTCATCATTCATTTTATTTAATATATTCATCATATTCAGTGAAAACCATCTCTTTTTATTAACCAGTTAAATTCAGCCAGGAGTTACTGAGCATCTCCACCTGGAGAACGTGGCGATGGGCAGGATTACCTGAGCTGAAGCAACTGACAATTGAGGCAACTCCTAGTCAAATACAAGACAGAGGGTATGATCAAGGCCACCATAAAGATCTAACGTGTATGAGACTGGAAAAATCTAATGCTATTGGGGCCAAACGACAGAAAAAGTAGATCGATCCTCTTCGGATTGTCTTGAAAACATGATGGAGATGGTAATATCTGGAAAGATCTTGAAGGATTAATACAATGGTAGCTGGAGCCGTGGGATGGTGAGAATCTCCTGATACCAGAAACAGAAGAGCACAGTGGGGAGACCTGTTTTGGGAACCGGGTCAGAATCTAGCACAGGTGTAGGGGAGGTGAAAGGAATGGCTTCCATTATTGATGTAAAGCAAGGCACGGTGGCCTCGAAGTGGTCACAAGAGAACAGAACCGGAAGGCAAAAGGCTAAGGGAAGAAGGGAGACGGGTCAAACAACCTTAATCCTTCATATTGTTTCCAGAAGCTTCTAGGCTTATTCCATTTTTTACACTACAGTGCTTCACTCTTTACCTGTCCCTCTCTCACCTCCTGAACTAGACTGCATCCTGGAGGCAAGCAGGGATCACACCTCCTCCTTCGTCAGCCTCCCTCCCTCTGCCCACACTCCCCAGCGCACAGACACCCTGCTCTACATATAAAAGATCACCAGACAACAACGCCTGCATGTTGCCAGACGTCAATGAATATTTACTCATTCAGAAACTAGCTTGACAGACACACTAAGCCCTGGTCTGTTTTCTAAGAATATAGGTTCTTCTCATGGAGCGCATGACTCAACTTTGTTAGGACCCACATTTTCCCAGAATATATGCGTGTGTGGAGAAGAGGAATCTCTGAAAGCGCCCCAACATTGTGTTCACACTTTTATTTCCTCATCTCGCTAAAACTGAAAATAAGTGTTCAGCAAAATCACTATGAATTTTAAAGTTTAATTTGTAAATGTATACGTATGGCCTTAAAATCCTAATTTTTAGGCCATGTTCGATTTCAGCCCCTTGATTCTATAATCCCTTGAAATTGAGTTGAAATACTAATAGTGTTCTTGGCTTGTCTTGTAGAGTTTAAAACATTACATCACATGAGGTTAAACATTTCTGAATATTCTTGAAGAGAAGCAAGTTTTCTATACAAAATTATCTTAATCACATCTTAAATTGTTTCTTCTATCTCCAATAGATTATTTTAGTTATATAAATATTTTTAAGAAGCCAATTCTCGCTCTTTATTTAACTGCTCAAATAGGAATGTCTCCAGTAGCACAAATTCAAAGATTTACAGTAAATATTTAAATTTGAAGATATTTCATGTAAAATAGATAATATAATTCTATTAATAGCCAGGAACTTGTAAATTAAGTTTTGCCTATTATTCATTGCTTCTAAATTTGAATTTTCTGTTAGAAGTGATTACTAATTTTAAGAATAGAGGTAAAATTTAAAACACACACTTTTGCAGTCAAATTGTTTTACTTACTGTTTCAAAACCTCGGTGTGGGTGATCAGGAAATCCGCCTGGTCTACCGCCTTTAAATTCATCAAACAGTAAAAATGGATCCAGATTTTTTAACTGAAATAAAAATCAAATTCAGCAGATTAGACATGCCTTTTAAGTCACACTACTAGGGGCAACATTCATGAACAGATCTAGAAAACCTCACTGAAAACAATATTGCCGAAGAGCAACTATTGGCAATGAAAGTTGCTTTCGGGAAAGAACTCCTTACACACACACACACATACACACACACACTCTCTCACACATGGATTCACTAAGTTAAAGAGCTGATATATCATGAGAAGTGGACAAATATTTCATGATCATCTAAGACCTAAATAGTCAAGTACAAACAAGACAGTCTATATCCTAAACAGATTCACAGAGTCTCTTGGTGGAACAGACTAGGAAATCAACGATTGCGCTGTAATGATTGCGCTCTCTGGAGGGAGAGAATGCATATGAGACCGGGATGGGCTCAGGGAAGGGTCTACCAGGGAGGTGTCACTTGAGCTGGGTCTTTAAGTAGAAGTTAATCAAGTAGAAGGGGGAGAAGGAAGAATATTCTAAATAAAAGATCAGAGAAGCAGCTTGACAAGCTTGAAGAACTTCAAAGAAACTACTCTAGTGGAGCAAAAGATGCACACAGAATCATGATGAGAGATGAGCTGAGGATAGAGGCCAAATCTTAAAGCTTGAGTTGAGGTTTTATCCTGAAGGTGATGGGGTTAAATGAAAGGTTGAGACGATCAGATTTAGAAAGATCACTCTAGCATACAGGTAGAAGATGGTTTGGAAAAAGAAGAGACAGGAGGCAGAGTATTGAGAAGGTAATTTTAACAGGCAGGCAAGGACAAAGGCCAGGTCTAAGGCAATGACGGTAGTGATGGAGAATGGGATTTGGGATCACTCCCAAATTTCTAGCTATGGTACCCGGGATGATGGTAGGACCATCCAGAAGCACAAGAAATAGAAATAGCCATGGTGACTTCATTTTAGGTCAAGTTGAGTTTGAGATATTGTATATAAATGATATTTATATAAATGGAACTATGAATATTCAGTGTCCAGTATATTGTGCAAAAGCTAGACAGCAACTGAAGCTAAATCTTGAGCTCAAATGAGAGGTGGAAACAGATCTGCCTGTTATCAGTGTATCTTTATGACTGTCTTGG